AAAATAAAAATAAAAAAAAAAATAAAAATAAAAAAAAAACACACATCATTGTAAAATCAATACATTCATCGTTTCACTCAGAATCTAAAATATAAATAAAAATATAAAAATATAAAAACATACATCATTGTAAAACCAATACATTCATCGCTCCGCTCAGAATCTAATAATAAACTTAATATTTTCAATTTACTTGCAAAAACAATATTTTGAATTATTAATATAATACGTTACTTTGTGCATACAAACCAGAAATTGTTTCTAATAAGACCTTTTACAGATATAGGTATAATATGTACAGTGTAGGACGTAGGTACCTATTTAAATACAATATTAGAGTATTTTTAATTTTAAAATGTAAAATAAAACCAGAAGTGAAAAAGAGTAATCCAAACAAGTATAATCTAGACACCTAGTTCGTTAGTTTAATTATAAAATATATAAAAAAAAAGGTTATCTCAATTTGCTATAATTCATATTTTACATTAATGCATTTTTTTTTAATGTTATAACTTATAAGCCTATACCCAGGCCCGTACTGGTCCACCGGGACACCGAGCATTTTCCAGGTGCGCCCCATGATCAATTGATAAATTAGCACCCCTATCCCCTTTTTTTTGTATCATTATTATATATATATACTCTATAATATTAGTGTTCCTATTTTATAATATTATAATGGTGTTATATTATACAAATGTTAAGTTCTGTAATTATTATGCATAGGTATTAGCTACATATTTTATGTAAATAATTGTTTTCTTATCATTTATGACATTATTAACTATAGATCCATAGAGGCGACTTGTGAAATTCGAATACCGTAATGGATGTAAGACGAGTGTCTGTGTACTTTGATGCTTGTTTTTATTTTGGTTTTTCTACAGGACACCCGTCTAATAAGGTATGTTAGGAAGGTAGGCTGCAAAGACATTTGTTGACTTTGCAGTTAAAACAATTGATGAAAAGGAGCTTAGTGGTATTGAAATAAAAGAAAAACTTTCGAAGAAACGCAAACGCAAAGTTGTTTGAATTAACTCGTGATAAAGAAGTTCACACAGAATAAATTGATCAATTTCATATACAAATATTTTTATCACGCCTGCACCGAAAGTTTGGTTTTCGATAAAGGTTAAAATGTTGGAAAGCGTTCTTTTTCCGTCCAGCGGGCGGTAAAGTGGAAATCCCCAAAAGTGCTGGGCACAAATATCACGCGATTATCGCCTGCACAACTATACACGGAAATCTATACCACGGTCCTTACAAAACATACATTTTTGGTTACATCTTATATCCATATTATATTATTATATGTAACCTCCATGCGTGACGCTTAAAATAAATAAAACCAAATAGTTTCTTTCATGAAATATGGTTGTCGTAGAATTATGGTCTAGTTGTTGCATAGATCCTTGTATTACCTTTGCCGTGATCGATGAATGCAGAGGCGTGAAAAAAAATAGTATGTGTGGCTCGAGCGGGAAGGCAATTTTAGTCTTGGGCGAAATAGCTCATTTCTCACCCTTGCCACACAATATACTATTAATAATATGATAGACACTATTATAAATAGTTTAGATGTACGATTTTTTATCTGAGTTTTTAAGCTAGTATTCAATTATAAATAACTAAAGTAAGTGAAGAATATTAGATACACATTAACCAAGACGTATAAACTAATCTAATATGTAAATTAACGTAATTTGTATGTCAATGAATTCTGTAAATAATTTAATATATATGACATATAGAAACAAAACGAATGAAATGTGACAAAACAATATTAAATCATTTTATCATTTTTGTTTTTTCAAGACAAAAATAAATAATTAATTAACACAAAAATAGCAGTTATAGCCTTATAGGTTGATAATATTCTTGTTTTTATCAACTATTTAAAATTATTTACAAATTCATACATTCCACTAACACATTACTCATGTCTTTGATTTAATATGAACCTAATATTATTATTCAATTGATATACCTATTTAAACTTTCTCCGAATTATTATTTTAACTGATCTAAGTATACCAAGGCTATATGTATATAATCTATTTTTTTACTTTCTATTTTTATACAAATAGTTATTAGGAAAATGTTTACCAATACTAAATAATGCACTATTATAGTACGATATTAGTGCGTAATGTCATAATTTTAATTTGTAAGTGTCCCTTCAAACCAATCCGATTTCTTTTAATATTTGATCCAATGTAACAATCGTCTGTGGGTGAGCATAATATTATTGTGAACAGTTT